CTACCAGAAGTCAAACAATATAGATTTGCATCTCTTTCGTAGGCATCACATATGCCTACTCCTAAAGTCAAAAGGTTCCCAACTAACTTATTTAAAAAAATACACCACTGGGGGCTTCCCTGGTGGCGCAGTGGTTGAGAGTCCGCCTGCCGACGCAGGGAACACGGGTTCGTGCCCTGGTCTGGGAAGATCCCACTATGCCGCAGAGCGGCTGGGCCCGTGAGCCATGGCCACTGAGCCTGCGCGTCCGGAGCCTGTGCTCCGCAACGGGAGAGGCCACAACAGTGAGAGGCCCGCGTACCGCAAAAAAAAAAAAAAAAAAATACACCACTGGAGAATGATTCAAGAGCTCAACAAAATACTAGTCCAACTGGGGATCTTTTCACCATTGGGACAAATCATTTGCTTTGCCCCACTCTATTGCTGACCCACACTAACTGTATTTCTTTGACGCCAGACATGTATATTAAAGTAGTCAAATTTGCAAGCTTAACATTGGGTATATATGCCAAAGACTCAAGTGTGTTCACCCTACCAGTTTGCCTTCCTCCCAGGCATAGAGCTAAACTACAATTTCCAGCTACCCTTGCAGTTAGGTGTGGCCATAGAATATGGGCAAGATTGATATAATTACTTCCAGGCTTGTATCACTGAAAATCTCCTGCATAATCATCTACTCCCTCTTACCCTATCTGCCAACTGCATATCAACTCTAAGGAGATCATGGAAGCCAGATGTTAAGATGAATAAGTGTCCGTCAGCCTGGGTGCTGGTATGGCATCAGCCAAGTAGACTTATAGGGATGAAAAATAATCTTCTGTTTTGCTAAACTGCTGAAATGTAGGGATTTTCTGTTGCATCAGCTACCTAATTAATAGAGTTCACATAGCCTCATTGAGGACCGAACTTAATGACACATTATAACAAATAAATAATAGCATCTACTATTTATAAAGTGCCAACTTTGTGCTGGACATCGTGCTAAGAACCTCATTATCACATTAATCCTCATAACATCTCCGGAGTAGACATTATTATTATTTTCATTTTACAGATAGGCAAACCAAGAACTTGAAGTTGAGCAAGGTCACCCAATTAGTGTCGTGGATTGTATCATCATCCCCAGTTATTCACTTCTTTTTCTGTAGGAAGATTATATGTCTCCACCTATTGTTATGTGACTTGCAGTGCCCCACTGTGGGAGAAATATACATGTCATTGACCATTGGCATTGGTGTGACAAGTGACTTGTTTTGGGTCAACGGAATGTGAGTGGATAACTTATGTCATATCTTAGCAGGACTTTTAAAAGCTATTGCTTAATTTGGCATTCTCCTTTCCCTCTGATACTGGAATGGAAAGTCCCAGGTCAGACTGGTCCTTCAGTCTGGATTCCAGAGTGAAGAAGACACTTAAGGGCAGTCACACTGACCAGCAAAGGCACGTAGCTTGAGGGAGAAATAGACCTTTGCTTTATAGGCAACTGAGAGGTTGTAATGGCTGTTACTGCACCAAACCTACTAAAAGCTGATGGATACATCTAGAACTTGATGCAAATGCAGTTAGTTAGACACCAGAGCCTGTGCTCTTCATCACCAAACAACACCTGCCAGGCACATTGTCACACTTGCACACGTTCCTGTCAGATGATATGATGAAAATTTAAAGCATCATTGAAAAAAAAAAGTCTGTTCTCATTCTGGGTAGGAAAAAGGTGATGCCTGTGAGTTTGAAGAGAAAACTGCCACAGCACCGGGATTAAAACTTAACTCATTGCTTTGTCTCTCACAATGCATACAAAATGTTTAGATGTAGTACCCCACAAAAAAATTGGTGGCAAGGATGTGGATCTTATAGATTCACTTGCTGGTTCATTTTGTAAAGTTTTCACACTGGTAATCACATCTCTGTGACTGGGAGTTTGGAGGTGAATAGTACCTAAAATCTATCCACTAAAAGAACCACCAGTACTATATGGTCCCTGGTCCTAAGCACAGCCATCAACAGGAAACATGAAATGGGAGACTGAAGGGGTTACTGGGTTTAATCTGACCTGAACTCATCTGTAAAGACATGAAATAAATAGCCATTTCATTAAAATTTGGGGTTAACTTCATACATTGTAAGTAGGAAAGTTGATTGATGGTCTCAATGCATCTGGACAAAATAGAGATTTGAGTATAGCCACTTGAACATTGTGCACTGAGCAAAATCAGCTTCTGAGGTTTTGTTGAAATAACTATTCAATTCAGTAATAAATAAATAATTGGGCCTCTACAGTTGATTAGCAGGTATTGTTAGATTAAGGCTATAGTTTAGGGAACACAGAATATTCTTTTTAAGATGACATTGTCCTTCTTTATTGAAAGGAAGTAAAGTTGTATTATTAATTAGTGCTAGTAAAATGTTATCAAGTATGGGTATATTATATACTTTGTCAGAGGAGAGTCAGAATACCATTCAGGCACTAACTACAGTTATCATGATCTCTTCTTTCTATAGAATTCTGATTATTTCTAGGACTAATTATTTTAAATACATTTTAAAATGTATTTTATCCCAAATGACTTTTTTTTTTTTTTTTACGGTACGTGAGCCTCTCACTGTCGTGGCCTCTCCCGTCGCGGAGCACAGGCTCCAGACATGCAGGCTCAGTGTCCGTGGCTCACGGGCCCAGCCGCTCTGCGGCATGTGGGATCTTCCCAGACCGGGGCACGAACCCGTGTCCCCTGCATCGGCAGGCGGACCCTCAACCACTGTGCCACCAGGGAAGCCCCCAAATGACATTATTTTATTTTTGTATCTCTTTAAATACTTGAAGTACAATTAAAGAAAAATACCTTAATTCAATAGAAGTGTCTTGATATTTTTTTAACTTTACCAATTCCTCTTTTATTGATACTACCAAATTTAATAATTTTATAAAAATCGAGATGGAACCAATTCTCTTTTGGTACTTAAATGAAATTATTAAAAATAAAAGAAACAGTAAATGCCATCTTAGTAAGTCAAACCCAGATTTGTTGAATTTAAACATTTCAAGTCCACGAACTTTAAAGTGCTGATACAATGAACTAAAAAAACTATCTTGCTTTGAAAAGTATCATGACTTTAAACCTGGTAAAAATAAATAACTGTCTTTTTCCCTAGCTCCCTTCCTTCCCCTTATTCTGACTCTCTCTGGTCCATTTCCCTTATTAACCAACATAGTACTTACATAACATTCGATTAAGGAATAGTGAAAAAAAGAAAAGCTTTGTCTTGCCTACCTGCTCATTTTGAAAAAGAGGGTTTGTCTTGTTTCCATGAAAATTCATTTTATCAACATTCAACCCTTGAAGAAAGTAATATTTTCTACCCGTGAATGGGGTTAAGCTTCCATAAGGCTGTATTTACTTTCTTTTAAAAATAATTGAAGTAATGTCGATTTACAATGTTGTGTTAGTTTCAGGTGTACAGCAAAGTGATTCAGTTATATATATGTTTTATATATATGGATGTGAATATATATCTATATCTATATGTATATTCTTTTACAGATTCTTTTCCATTATAGGTTATTACAAGATATTGAATATAGTCCCCTGTGCTATACAGTAGGTCCCTGTTGAGTATCTGTTTTATATATGGTAGTGTGTATTTGCTAATCCCAAGCTCCTAATTTATTCCTTCCTCCACCCTTATATTTACTTATTTTTAATATCCAACAAATTTTTTTCTATTGTTTATTAAGCAGCTATTTTCATGTTTTATTTTCTTTTTATCCTGTAAAGTAAGGATAGTTTGTGAGAAGATAGGGAGGAACATGAAAGTGAACTGAAGCATTTTTATATACTCAAAGGAAACAGCCTATACCAGTCCTGTGTATTAAATGAAGACCTGGGTCATACAAGTGCATATATTTACTGATGTTTAGGAAATACCAGGGTGAGGTATCAAAATTATATTTTAAAAAATTACAAAATGGCTCCAGGTATGCAGGAATAAAATTAAGTTGCTCTCCTTAACAAATCCTACTTGAAATGGGTAAACCAATTATTCTGGAGTATGCTATTCACTGTCATCAGGACATAATGACACTTTGCTCAGCAATTAGCCACCCAGGAAGAAAGCAAACCATAGTTTGGTAAATTAGCACTGAATACGTGAACATGGAATCTACCAGAACTAAAGATAATTGATTGAGCAATTTCATTCCCATCTTTTTTGTTTTTAATTCATGAGAGAAATTGAACTTTAGAACTCACAAATACATTACTTTGTTTATCTAATAATCCATATTCTTGTCTGGGTTTATCTTCATAAGTAATGTCTACTTTCCTTCTGCTGATAAGATCAGATGCAGCAAAGGCAGGGTAAACTGCCTTGTTTAAGTCCTAATAATACTCCATACATCACTTCTGTCTACTCTTATAAATTAAATGGTAGACAAACTTGTCCATGTCCATCAGGAACCAAAAGGTAAATGTAGTGTAACATTTCACCCTTTGCCCAGATTTAGAATAGATTGCTTCTGCCTTCACTAGTGATCACAGAGGAAGAAAAAAGACCGGAAGGTATAAACACACAGCTTTATCCAAGTCCTGAGTGCTCTGCATGCATCATCTTTAGAAAGCAATGAAATGCCCAGCAAGGAAAACCAGGATACATATCGTTTACCTTCTTAAACAACGAACCAGAACTAGCTCAAGACCACACATGCATAAGGGCATCCTCAAAAGAGAATGGCAGCCAGGGGTACTGTAGAGTCTTTATCAGTATTTCCATCCCGTTGTCAAACCGTGCCTGGGCTCTGTAATTCAAACTGTGCCTTCTAACACCTGGATGCCCCCTTTTAAAGCTTCCTCTTCAAAATGTGGCTTCCACCTTCCTCTACTATTTTTCCTCATCAGTATCAGTCCAGGGGAGGGGGTGTGCGAGGACCTGGTACCAAAGGAGAGGAGGGCGTGGCACAGACCAGTCTTGCCTAAGGTGAAGACAGAATGGCGAGAGGAACTTACCTGTTTCCCCTGTAGGAATGTTGAAATGGAACTGGAATGATAATAAATCGGCCCCTCTTGCACAGTTTCTTCCTTGTTTCTATTAGGAGAAGTAACTCCTCCTCTGTTTACTATGCCTGCGACCTTGGAAATGTAGTCGCTCTGTTCACATGCTGACTTGAAGTTAGTCACTGATCTCACAAACACACCCTTTTCCCTTTCCTGGAGCTCACCAGCTCTGCTGAGAAGTCTGTCAGGTCTGGACTAAGAGTAAACTATTTCTCCACCCTCCTGGGTCTCAGGACCCCTAGACAGGAGTTGATTGGCTGGTATCTCGCTGACCACAGTTCTCCCACAGCGCCTTTCTGCCCTCTAAGCCCGACAAAAAGTTAGAGAGGAGAGCGAGAGGGTGAGGAATGAATGAACGCTTTTGAAGCCAAAGGGGCTCGGTTGAAACTAGACAACTCTCATCAGGGACTGATCCGTGGCGTGCGTGCGTGCATGCGTGTGTGTGTGTGTGTGTGTGTGTGTGTCTGTGTGTGTGTGTTCCTTTTCTCCCCGGAGGATGGGATTTTCCCCATTCTCAGTTCAGCTCGGATCGTTTGCGGTTCAATGTTCTTGACTTTGAATAGCTATTGTGATGCACCGCCATGCGTGAAATGGGTGATTTGCAAGCTTCTCTGTCCCACGCAATTCCGTGCATAATCATATATCCAGATTCTGCACTGGCAAGGGAATCGTTCCTTTATAGAAAGCGATTGACTTCCCGCGACCAAAGGAACTTAATAGTGTTCGCTGGGGTAGCCGTCCGGGGTGGGAATGCGGGCGCCTGTGCTCTGGCCTTGGTGCTGAATCCGAAACCCGCTGTCCAACAATCTCAGCAGCTCCTGGGCAACTTTGGGAGGTCTGATGGGGACTGGCCAGTCCTAGGCACCCCCTCGCCGGTCGCCGGCAGGAATCTGGGCAAAGCCTATGCCCTGGGACCCTCCTCAGGGGACGCAGCTCCCTTATTTCTTTGCTTGGATCTGGGAAAGTTTTGTACAACGTTTATTTGTAACTGGAGCTGCCTTCTCCCCTCCCACCTGGGTCGCCATGGAGACTTGAGCTCTTTCTCTTTTTCTCCAGGCAAAATGGGCGAAGCTTAGTTAGCTCAGCCCTGACTGTAGCAAAGCCCCTTCTTCTTTCTAAGAAGCTCCTGGGCATCGCTCTCCTCCGTTTTTCAGAAGAAAGGTAGGCAGGGAATGGTGCTAGCTGGAATGTGGCATTACACCCGGTTCTGTGATGGCTCCTTGGATCATCAGACTTTGGGTAAAAGCAGGCAGGAGACACTGTAAATGTATAATAAATCTCCAACTCCTAAGTACTGGAGTCCCCCCCCCTCCCTTTTTTTGGGAGTGGAGGCGGGATTCTTTGGGAAATGCTGGTATTTTGTTTCTCCACTAATCTCACCCCATTACTGTGGCTGTTTCTATCAAGATATGTTTCCTCCCTAAGAGTCTCTCCATACTGAACCCGGTACAAGAGATATACCTGTGGATTAACCCAAGGTTTTATTGGGTTTGGGGAATACAAATGTTATTTCTGTTAAAAACTCATCCAAGCTTAATGTCTTGATGCAAATGAAAATATACCCAGGAGGAAGCAAGCCAGTGAATTCATCCAGCCCTCTAAATGCAGTAAACATCTCACTTTATCTGAAGGGTTTTTGTTGTTGTTTGTTTGTTTTTTTCTCTTCCAATTGCAAAATAATTCAGTTTACTTCTAGGGATAGCTTCCTATTCACTGTTGGTAGTCATCATATCACATCTCTGGTTATATTGATAGAGAACAGTTAGGAGTTATTGTTTCCCATTCTCTGCTTGTTTCTCCCCAGCCCTCACTTTTCCTTTTCCTCTTCATGTTTCTCTCTCCCTATCTCTCTTTCTCTTTCTCTCTCCCTATCTCTCTTTCTCTCTCTCTCCCTCTCTCTCTTCCTTCCTCTCTCTCTCCTGCTCCTATACGCAAAGAAGAACAAGGATACAGCTTTCCACAAAGACAATGGGCTTTTCCCAACTGTAAATGACTACATAGCAAGCCACCCCTGCCAGTTAATCCGTGCATTTCATCTTTGCCAACCGATGTTGAAATGATGTCTGTAATAACTGACTGGGTCTCTCCGGGCCCCGGGCATGCAGACCCCTCCTCTCCCCGCCCCCCTTGCGAGTTTTCAGTTGCTAATGAGAACCGTATGAAACAGATTTCCCTTCTGTTATGTAACCTGCTTCTCCCTCGCCTTTCCCTTGACTTGGGCATCCTGTTTCTCATCAGAGTGGAGATGCATGCAGCGGCGGAAACTGGGGAAGGGGAGTTGGGGACCCGAGGGCACAGAACCTCTTGCCCAGATTGATGCCAGCTTCTTGCCTTCGAGCAACTCAGCGCACCGCTTACCTTGCTGCGGACTCGGTGGCTTCATTCAATCATGATCTCCCCTCTTGGAACGGAGCAAGGTTTAATAATTCACTACACGATGGATGGCGAGGGGAGGAAATAAAAAAAGAAAAGGGAAGGAAAACTGGAATCAGATGGTCAAATTTTACATCAGCCCCGGGAGGCTTTAGGAGACTCCATTCTCCTCGCGGTGCATCCAGGTCTGGGTCTATCTTCCCGGGTCCCGCGGATCCCACCCCTCCGCCCGCCCAACCTCTCCGGCCAGGTGCGGCCGTCTTCAAACTGGCTCCCTCTGGCCGAGAGTGGAGAGGAGGGCTGGGCGCGGGGGCCAACGGAGGGGCGGAGGGGTGTGCGTTCGGGCAGGGGCGGGGGAGGGAGACCGGGTGGAGGGAAGGGGGAAAAGGCGAGAGTGGCGGAAAAAAAAAATCCCCGGCTAGGAGAAAAGTGATGGACCACGCAGGGAGACGTCATGAAAGCCGCAGATTCAAAGAACGCTACTCAATTCCTGGCGACTGGCTGAGCCCGGCTGTCAGCGCACGAACCGACGCGGCTCCGGGGATAAAAGCGAGCGCAGCGCCGCGTGCTGGAGAAAAGCTGCCACGCAACCTGTTCCGTAGAGGCCGTGGGCGGGGACCCGGAGGGATGGAGCTGGAGACCCGGAGGCGCCCACCCACCTCCCATTTTCAGCATCAGTGTCGCGCTGGATCGCCCAGCTTGGGCGGGGACACTACGACGCCCCCCCGCCCCCAAATCCGAGCCAATGCGGAAACAACCAAGTCAAGCCCCACCCCTCCAATACGAGCCTGGAAATGTGGGGCTCTCGATGCCTGGGGAAGATTTTAGGGTTAGCCTCGTGTTCCCATCATTCCCCCCCAAGTCACTAAGTTATTCTCGAAGAAAAGCCTGGAAAGCAGGAAAGCCGAAGCTCGGGGATCGGTTTTTGACTGCTGGTTGGAGGGGGCTCTTTCTTTAATGTTTTGTGACATCAGGAGAAAGAGGCTCTTGTCCCTGTCTCCCTCTGGGCTGAAATGGAGAGTCAGCTTGGGGCGCGGAAGCCGGAGCGCACACTGTCCACGTGGCCGGCAGGGGGCGCAGGGAGCGGGCTGCGTGGGAGCCCAGGGGCCGCGTCCCAAAGCTTGCACCGCCGGAGACCAGCAGGCTGTTGCATACATTCCGTCCTGACCACGGCAGCTGGGCCCCGGTCCCCACTGCTGCTCCTCCCCTACCCTCATCCAGACGTCTCTGTTCCGTGGCATTGGAGAAGGAGAAGGCGCTGTGGGCGTTTTCATACACAATCCAGGTTGCCTTCAAAGTTGACTTCGGCAGTCCCTGCACAACTGCCTCCTCCATCCTTAGAGTTTTAAACTTGCTTTGTATTGTTATTCCAGGGAGCACACCATAGTGGTCCCCTCTGCAACCCTTCTTTTTCTTATGATCTTCACAAAGAGTATTTCCACATTTTCGAAACCTTTCCACACAACTCGCTTCTACCTCCATGCTGTCCACTCTTGTATGCCATATTTTTCCTGGGATAAATGGGTTGACAACTAAACTGTGAGAGCAATGAATACCATTGGTTGATAATTTTGTAATGGTCCTTTCAGTAACTGGCTGTTCTTGTGCCATGTTTTAAAGTGGCTTTCCTTCCACAACATACAGGATCTCCATTTCCAAGAAGGTGACCCTATTCAAGAGAAAGTGCTGGTCAAGACCTCTTATTTCCAAGATTATTTTATTCTACATTCATACTTTCTAATTACACAGCAATTCAGCCCCTCAAGAATGTTGTCTGCTGTCTAAGGATGCCTTTTGGTATGGAGAGGTGTTTGCTTCAAATTTGCATCATCAGTTATAGACAGGTCAACCACACACACAACCTGTGGGCTTATACTCACTGATTTTCCCTAAGAGGTTGTGTAATCTCACTTGCTCTTACTTCTGAGTCACATAGCTCATATACAGAGGATATTAGTATATGTACTATGTGATTTTTATGCTCCATAGTGCTTGCTGGATCTAGTAATTTTGTCAGAGATAAAGATAAACAAAGGACAACTGGACTCAACAATCCCTGAGGGATCCTGGAGTAAGGATGTGAGATGCAGGACTTTGGTGGAAACCTCCCTAGAACATTAAAAGGACAACTCACATTGACTATAGTTGTCTAAAGAGCATTCTATTTAATCTGCAAAGCTGCTAAGGGTACGTCCGCCAAGTTTGATTATGTAGGTTTCCACCAGTGGAAGGATTTCTCAAGGCATCAGACTAAGTAAGTCAAAGAGGAGAATCATCTGTTTCTGCTTTGAACACTTTGAAAACTGCCCTAACTTGAAGCAGCAAGCCAGGGTGATATGGGCTGCAGCTCTTCCTTAATAGTGTAGAAGTTTGTTTTGAATGAGGTGGGTCACATATACATGGCATGGGATTTGATTAACACCAGAGACAAGAACGATTGGCTTAACTAAATTCATTTATTCCTGAGAGAGCTCAGTGATCAGCATGGCTGTAGCTAGGAGGAGTCTCAGTGATGTCAGAAAATCAGGGAAGCTGTGCTTTGGAGCTGCCCACTGCGGCTCCTCTGAGCTCCCCAGAGCCCTGTCTCTCAGGCTACACTGTGTTCAGCATGCCTGGAATCTCACTTATATGTCTATTTTATGATTTCCGATGAAGGCAAGGGCTGGGGGGTGAGGTTCACAAGACTTTAGCTCTTTTGGTCTCTTTCTCTGGGGAGGTTAGTACTCCAAAGCTGACAAAGACAGTGGCTTCTAGGATTGATTGATTCTTTTATATAGATGAAACTGGATTCTCCCCATGTATCCAACTGTAATGGAGGCTTATTAGCTATCCAAACTGACAAACTGAATTATCTCAACTGGGTGTCATTTGTTGCAGGTAGTCTTGTTTTTTTCCATTATCCATTGTGGCAATTTACAACCCAGGCTCTCTCCCCCGCCCACGTGTAGCTCTGGCTCTGCTTTGGGCAGGCTGACACTAGGAGCAAGGTGGGTGGCTGTTTCTGGTCTTTATCTTTACTTGTGTCTACTTGTTTTATTTTTAAGATCTTAGGCTGTTGTGGAGGCCCAGTTTCTATTCCATTTCACTTCCCCCACCCACCTCTCTTTATCAAAAAATGAACAAACAAAAAACCAAGTAAAACCTACAAAAAACACAACATCTTTAAAATGCAGAGATAGGTGCATAATTATAAAATAAGTTACTTTAACTATAAAGGACATCGTTAAGAGAATCAAGAAAGATAAATTTTAAAAATACTCTATCCTGTAGCTCTACTTCCAATGGGCCAGATGGATTTCATCCATGTTTCTTATTTGGGGACTCTCTATAAAGAGTTATTGTATTTCCTTTTTGGACTTTAATTATAAATTTTGAGATATATTCTTAATAAATATCTCCAGGTGAAAAACATTCAGTACTTTTCTTAAGAAGGCAATTTTAGATGGGTTTTAGCTTCATAGCATGCGGGGCATTTTAGTGTTGATTTCTTTTTTTTTGCGGTACGCGGGCCTCTCACCATTGTGGCCTCTCCCATTGTGGAGCACAGGCTCCGGACGCGCAGGCTCAGCGGCCATGGCTCACAGGCCCAGCTGCTCCGCGGCATGTGGGATCTTCCCGGACGGGGCACGAACCCGTGTCCCCTGCATCGGCAGGCGGACTCTCAACCACTGTGCCACCAGGGAAGCCCTAGTGTTGATTTTTAGTACTTTTATTCTCCAATTATTCAGTTATCACTTTCCTTTTTTGGGGGATACCTTTCATCTTCTACACATTTTCTTCACTTTGGAATTCCAGTCACTATTCCGAGTAATCTTTTCTTTATTTTTTAATTTTTTTTTAGTTTCGGGTGTACAACATAATGATCTTTTTTCTAACATCTTTATTGGAGTATAATTGCTTTACAACAGTGTGTTAGTTTCTGCTTTATAACAAAGTGAATCAGCTATACATATACATATATCCCCATATCTCCTCTCTCTTGCGTTTCCCTCCCACCCTCCCTATCCCACCCCCCTAGGTGGTCACAAAGCACGGAGCTGATCTCCCTGTGCTATGCAGCTGCTTCCCACTAGCTATCTATTTTACATTTGGTAGTGTATATAGGTCCATGCCACTCTCTCACTTCGTCCCAGCTTACCCGTCCGCCTCCCCATGTCCTCAAGTCCATTCCCTACGTCTGCGTCTTTATTGCTGTCCTGCCCCAGGTTCTTCAGAGCCATCATTTTTTTTTTTTTTTTAGATTCCCAATATATGTGTTAGCATACGGTATTTGTTTTTCTCTTTCTGACTTACTTCACTCTGTATGACAGACTCTAGGTCCATCCATCTTATTATAAGTAACTCAATTTCGTTTCTTTTTATGGCTGAGTAATATTCCATTGTATATATGTGCCACATCTTCTTTATCCATTCATCTGTTGATGGACACTTAGGTTGCTTCCA